AATTCACATTCCCACCAGCAGTGCAAGAGTGTTCCCTTTTCTCCACATCCTCTCCAGCATTTATTGTTTCTAGATTTTTTCATCATGGCCATTCTGACTGGTGTGAGATGACATCTCATTGTAGTTTTGATTTGCATTTCTCTAATGATTAATGATGTTGAGCATTCTTTCATGTGTTTGTTGGCAATCTGTATATCTTCTTTGGAGAAATGTCTATTTAGGTCTTCTGCCCATTTTTGGATTGGGTTGTTTGTTTTTTTTGTTATTGAGCTGCATGGGCTGTTTGTATATTTTGGAGATTAATCAATCCTTTGTCAGTTGCTTCATTGGCAAATATTTTCTCCCATTCTGAGGGTTGTCTTTTGGTCTTGTTTATGGTTTCCTTTGCTGTGCAAAAGCTTTGAAGTTTCATTAAGTCCCATTTGTTTATTTTTGTTTTTATTTCCATTTCTCTAGGAGGTGGGTCAAAAAGGATCTTGCTGTGATTTATGTCATAGAGTGTTCTGCCTATGTTTTCCTCTAAGAGTTTGATAGTTTCTGGCCTTACATTTAGGTCTTTAAAACATTTTGAGTTTATTTTTGTGTATGGTGTTAGGGAGTGATCTAATCTCATACTTTTACATGTAGCTGTCCAGTTTTCCCAGCACCACTTATTGAAGAGGCTGTCCTTTCTCTACTGTACATTCCTACCTTTTTTATCAAAGATAAGGTGACCATATGTGCATGGTTTTATCTCTGGGCTTTCTATCCTGTTCCATTGATCTATATTTTTGTTTTTCTGCCAGTACCATACTGTCTTGATTACTGTAGCTTTGAAGTCAGGGAGCCTGATTCCTCCAGCTCCATTTTTCGTTCTCAAGATTGCTTTGGCTATTCGGGGTCTTTTGTGTTTCCATACAAATTTTGAAATTTTTTGTTCTAGTCCTTTGAAAAATGCCAGTGGTGGTTTGATAGGGATTGCATTGAATCTGTAGATTGCTTTGGGTAGTAGAGTCATTTTCACAATGTTGATTCTTCCAATCCAAGAACATGGTATATCTCTCCATCTATTTGTATCATCTTTAATTTCTTTCATCAGTGTCTTATAATTTTCTGCATAGAGGTCTTTTGTCTCCTTAGGTAGGTTTATTCCTAGATATTTTATTCTTTTTGTTGCAATGGTAAATAGGAGTGTTTTCTTGATTTCACTTTCAGATTTTTCATCATTAGTGTATAGGAATGCCAGAGATTTCTGTGCATTAATTTTGTATCCTGCTACTTTACCAAATTCATTGTTTAGCTCTAGTAGTTTTCTGGTAGCACCTTTAGGATTCTCTATGTATAGTATCATGTCATCTGCAAACAGTGACAGCTTTACTTCTTCTTTTTTGATTTGGATTCCTTTTATTTCCTTTTCTTCTGTGGTTGCTGTGGCTAAAACTTCCAAAACCATGTTGAATAAGAGTGGTGAGAGTGGGCAACCTTGTCTTGTTCCTGATCTTAGTGGAAATGGTTTCAGTTTTTCAGCATCGAGGACGATGTTGGCTGTGGGTTTGTCATATATGGCCTTTACCATGTTGAGGAAAGTTCCCTCTATGCCTACTTCCTGAAGGGTTTTTATCATAAATGGGTGTTGAATTTTGTCGAAAGCTTTCTCTGCATCTATTGAGATAATCATATGGTTTTTCTCCTTCAGTTTGTTAATATGGTGTATCACATTGATTGATTTGCATATATTGAAGAATCCTTGCATTCCTGGAATAAACCCCACTTGATCATGGTGTATGATCCTTTTAATGTGCTGTTGGATTCTGTTTGCTAGTATTTTGTTGAGGATTTTTGCATCTATGTTCATCAGGGATATTGATCTGTAGTTTTCTTTCTTTGTGACATCTTTGTCTGATTTTGGTGTCAGGGTGATGGTGGCCTCGTAGAATGAGTTTGGGAGTGTTCCTCCTTCTGCTATATTCCGGAAGAGTTTGAGAAGGATAGGTGTTAGCTCTTCTCTGAATGTTTGATAGAATTCGGCTGTGAAGCCATCTGGTCCTGGGCTTTTGTTTGTTGGAAAATTTTTAATCACAGCGTCAATGTCAGTGCTTGTGATTGGCTTGTTTATATTTTCTATTTCTTCCTGATTCAGGCTCAGAAGGTTATGCTTTCCAAGAATTCGTCCATTTCTTCCAGGTTGTCCATTTTATTGGCATAGAGTTGCTTGTAGTAATCTCTTAATGATCCTTTGTATTTCTGCAGTGTCAGTTGTTACTTCTCCTTTTTCATTTCTAATTCTATTGATTTGAGTCCTCTCCCTTTTTTTCTTGATGAGTCTGGCTAATGGTTTATCAGTTTTCTTTATCTTCTCAAAGCACCAGCTTTTAGTTTTATTGATCTTTGCTATCGTTTCCTTCATTTCTTTTTCATTTATTTCTGATCTGAGCTTTATGATTTCTTTCCTTCTGCTAACTTTGAGGTTTTTTTGTTCTTCTTTCTCTAATTGCTTTAGGTGCAAGGTTAGGTTGTTTATTCGAGATGTTTCCTGTTTCTTAAGTAGGATTGTATTGCTATAAACTTCCCTCTTAGAACTGCTTTTGCTGCATCCCATAGGTTTTGGGTCATCGTGTCTCCATTGTCATTTGTTTCTAGGTATTTTTTGATTTCCTCTTTGATTTCTTCAGTGATCTCTTGGTTATTTAGTAGTGTATTGTTTAGCCTCCATGTGTTTGTGTTTTTTACATATTTTCCCCTGTAATTGATATCTAGTCTCATAGCGTTATGGTCAGAAAATATACTTGATACGGTTTCAATTTTCTTAAATTTACCAAGGCTTGATTTGTGACCCACGATATGATCTATGCTGGAGAATGTTCCATGAGCACTTGAGAAGAAAGTGTATTCTGTTGTTTTTGGATGGAATGTCCTATAAATATCAATTAAGTCCATCTTGTTCAATGTATCATTTAAAGCTTGTGTTTCCTTTTTTATTTTCATTTTGGATGATCTGTCCATTGGTGAAAGTGGGGTGTTAAAGTCCCCTACTATGATTGTGTTACTGTCGATTTCCCCTTTTATGGCTGTTAGCATTTGCCTTATGTATTGAGGTGCTTCTGTGTTGGGTGCATAAATATTTACAATTGTTATATCTTCTTCTTGGATTGATCCCTTGATCATTATGTAGTGTCCTTCTTTGTCTCTTGTAATAGTCTTTATTTTAAAGTCCATTTTGTCTGATATGAGAATTGCTACTCCAGCTTCCTTTTGATTTCCATTTGCATGGAATATCTTTTTCCATCCCCTCACTTTCAGTCTGTATGTGTCTCTAGGTCTGAAGTGGGTCTCTTGTAGACAGCATATATATGGGTCTTGTTTTTGTATGCATTCAGCCAGTCTGTGTCTTTGCTAGTGCCTTTTTAACTGCATCTTTAATTCCATTTCTCTTTTGTGAACCTAAACTATCATATACGATTCTGTGGCTTTCATTGTTTACATATTTCTTTTAACTCAATTACTACTTATTTTACAACTATTAATTAAATACCTACTATGGACCGAGCCCTGTACTAGATCTTGGGGTTACGAGAGTGAATAATTACACACGTAGCCCTTGTCCTTACTCTTTTCTCAAATTAGATGGGGAAGCAGATCTTAATCAAAAAACCACACAGGTTAGGTTGAAATTACAACTGGGACTGGTGCTGCAGAAAAGAGCTACATGGCACTGGGAGCTACATGGCACACTAAGGGCGACACAGCCTACAAAGGGATGGGGAAGGGGATGGAAAATCAAGGAAGGTTTCCCTAGGAAGGCACAATTGAGCAGAGACCTCAGGAGGGAAAGGGAGGGGAAGAGTCTTCCAAGCAGATCCACAGCTCTGACTCTTGAGGCTGGCTTCAGCAGCTTATTCTGATTTTGTGGTTCTGCAGTGGGGACCTAGACTCTACATTTATAGTAAGTACTCCTAGTGCTTCTGATATACATGGGCTCTTGCTTATGCTTTGAAAAAATACTGAGGCAAAGAATATACAGAGGGCTTCCCTGGTGGCGCAGTGGTTGGGAGTCCGCCTGCCGATGCAGGGGACGTGGGTTCGTGCCCCAGTCCGGGAAGATCCCACATGCCGCAGAGCAGCTGGGCCCGCGAGCCATGGCCGCTAAGCCTGCACGTCCGGAGCCTGTGCTCCGCAACGGGAGAGGCCACAACAGTGAGAGGCCCGCGTACCGCAAAAAAAAAAAAGAATATACAGAGTTTTCTAGTGTTTACATATACACACATAATTTATTAAATATCCATTTCTTGTGGGGCTGCTCTATGTCAGCCAGTACACTAGGAATGCTCACTTGTATTTGTCCCACTCTTCTGGCCTTGTCTCTGTCCCGCTCTGAGCATCCAGTCTGACTGTCCCAGTCTTCCCCATCTGCACAGTGAGGGATTTGGACTGTATGACCTCAACATCCAATGGCTTTGAGACGCTGAAAGTGTGTTTTCCCCCTCTCTGTAGATGCACTTGCCGCAAAGGTTACGTTGGCGATGGCTCGACGTGTTATGGAAACATCATGGAGCGACTCAGAGAATTAAACACTGAACCCAGAGGAGAATGGCAAGGAAGGCTGACCTCTTTCATCTCACTCCTGGGTACACAGCCATGGGTGCCCATTTCCACAGAAAGCGCAGTCCTCTGATGGGCAAGGACATCTGCCAGACACACAATCACTCAGAAAGGGGTGTGCAGGATAGGCAAGTCTTGTCTATTGGGATCAGCCCTTTCTAGGAAGGGCAAGTGGGAGGAAAAGGACAAGCAGCTGTTCCAAGGAGATGAGAGTTAGTGCCAAGAGATCCAGCAATGCAGCAGCTAAGGACAAGGTCCTGGGGTCACCGTCGATTAACAGGTCTGCAACAACAGTGAGATAGGCAGCTACCGACGTGAGGATGGAAACCATCCTCTTTCCCTTGACCTTATGGGTCCTCCAGATGGGAAACAATGTTGGCAGGTAGTACTGGGAGGCACTCTCCCTGCTCCTCAGTGAAGGTGCCATTTGAATGTGGGGCAGAGTCTTTGACGGTGTGCGACCAACCATCTCACATATCGCTGGGTGTTTAGCATCCTTGGTCCCCCAACCACTAACAGTCTATAGTGACACATTCTCTGCCAGCCCCCAGGCAGGGTGACAGCCTAAAACACCCTCCTGCCTTTCCGAACACCCTCTAGAGGTCATGACCTCACACTCCCATAAGAATGAAATATAGCTGATCACAACGTTAGACAAGATTTCCAATAAAACACAAATTTTGCCAGTCGACAGGAAATAAAACACAGGTTTGAGCAATCAGCAGAATCCTTAAAATATCATCATCTAGAACTGACCAGTCACCAAGGATGATTTCCCAGAAAGAGCACGGGCGGAGGAGGCAGTGTTCTGCACTGGTCAGTGCTGTGTTCTCAGCGCAGATAATGTGCCTCCTACACAAATGACCCGCTCTTTGCAGGACACCCCCCAGGGAGTCAGGCATTACTGGCAGACCTCAGGGCTCTCCCGCCTTCCTCTACACACTCTTAGAATATCAGTGAGAACAGACAAGGGGGACAGTGTCCTTTAGACATTTCCCTGGACAAAGTCCAGTCACCCTGTCACCTGCCCGGTTTATGAGGTGCGGGGCACACTGCCTCCTGTGTGAGAGCACAGAGCCCATCCTGCTGTCCCCGCCTCCCCAGGGGCATAGAACAGGACCAGCTATAAAATTTCTAGAGCCCAGTACAAAATGAAAAGACCAGGGCTTCTTTGTTCAAAAAATATTGAGCATTTCACGATGGCAATGACAAAGCATTAAACCAAGAATGAGGCGCTTTTTTTTTTTTTTAAGTATTTATGTTTGGCTGCGTTGGGTCTTCGTTGCTGCGCACAGGCTTTCTCTAGTTTTGGCGAGTGGGCTTCTCATTGCAGTGACTTCTCTTGTTGCGGAGCGCGAGCTCTAGGCCCGCGGGCTTCAGTAGTTGTGGCACGCGGGCTCAGTAGTTGTGGCGCACAGGCTTAGTTGCTCCATGGCATGTGGGATCCTCCCGGACCAGGGCTCGAACCCGTGTCCCCTGCATTGGCAAGCAGATTCTTAACCACTGAGCCACCAGGGAAGTCCCAAGAATGAGGCTCTTCTGAGCTGGCCCTGATGGAGCAAGGGCTGCATCTTCACTCACTGAGATGGCAACAGCTCAGAAAGTCAGGCACAGAGGCAGAGGTTGTCCAAGGATGTTGTCACATGACCCTCATGGACCCTCTCATCCCAGGGTATCTTTGAGTCAAGACTGTGGCTACAGGAAAAATCACACAGTTGTGAGGAACACTTGGGGGCCTCACGTTCTTAGCTTCCCAGTTCACCTAGGGCCTGCATAATACCAATTAGAATGGAGAAGCTCAGGAGTCAGAGGGTCTAAGTGGACCACAAGGGGCATTGCCTGATTTTACTCCTCATGAGCTACTGACGCATTTAGTGTTTTCTTTCTTTGTGTATTTCAACTCCTAAGACAAAGCCTATGCTTGGCCACTGAGTAACCTGGGACCATTTACCGTGCTGTTGCCGACAGACAAAGGATTCAAAGGATTCAATGTAAGTATTTTAAATAACCTTGTTTTATAAATAAGGACTAGTGTAAAAAAAAAAAAAAACACCTTAGTAGACAGTACCCTCTTTATTTAAAGTGGGGAACCCCATTAAAATTAGAACTCCTGATGATGAGATGCAAATTTTTTTATAAAATTCTTTGAGCAAAATAAAACGTCCTTACGGATAGTGCACAAACAGTAAGCGCACAACTCAATGAACTGTCACAAAGCGCATGTCGATGTGTCTAGCAAGCCTCCCCCAATGCCCCCTTCCAGTCATTACCCCTCAAGGGTAATCACTAAAGGTTCTCAACTGTAGTCACGTGATAAATAAGATTTGCGTAATGCAAAACTGCTCACTTCCCACAGAAAGAATCAAATTAACATACCAGCTAGGTATTTGTTTCTTTAAAATCATCATAAATGGTAACAGCGGTAGAGGAAACTAGAAGAGAACTGCAGTCTTCAGTGTGAGCAGCTGTTTTCTCAGATAATGTCAGCCAGTGGGAATGAAACCCGTAGTGCCCAGTGGAGGTTGCCCATGGTATCAGTGCCGTAGTTAGATTTGGTTTAATGTAGGTAATGAACACACTGATTTGTGTGAAATTGGTTTATATACGATCACAAAAATATCCAAGATATTTTGTGATCATAATTTGTGCTGCATTCAGTTAACACCCAGCGAGTTTCAGACTCTCTGCTCCTAATATGCCACCACCATTCATCCGTCCAAGATGAATCTGTCATTAATCTTCAGAGATGCACTCACATGTCTCCTGTGGGGAAGGAGAACTAGTGAACATTGAAGGCATCTGGGCCAGACACTTTGCATGTGGTCTCTTGTTTAATATACAGATTGAATTTACACAGTTGAGAAAAGGTCTCTGAGTGATTGTTGACAATATAATATTGACAGAACGTCAATTTGATCCAAAGGATTTCGAAAATCTTAATTTTGCTCTTCAAAAGCTCCATCGGTCCACTCTACTGGGTCTTTTCACACAATTTCACATTTCATTCCCAGCTGCTTCCTGGGCTCAAGATGACTGACCTCTCAGCACCTGCCAACCATGTTGGTCCTCCTGGCCCCAGCGCTATGCTCTCCCCATGATGCCCGGTTCCCTCCCAGAGCACCCCCCATGGTTTGAGAGCATACCGTGCCTCACCTCTAGATTTCTGCTCCCTTTAAGGCCTGGCTTAGGGCAGCTTATCTCTGGGAAAGTCATCTGTATCTGAAAGAGCCCAAACTCAAGTCAGGGTGAACTAACTTTGATGTTTTTGATGCTAAACAAGTCATAACCTGAATCACAAACCTCATTTTTCCCTTCAAACCACAGTAGAGACTGAAAGAATCGGCTTTCTTTTCTCAGGTAAAAGAGCTTTTGCTGAATAACGAAGCTGCTCAGTACTTTGTGAAACTCCACATAATTGCTGGGCAGATGAGCACCGAGCAAATGAATAATACAGACACATTCTATACTTTGACCGGAAAGTCAGGGGAAGTCTTCAGTGATGATAAGGTAGGTGAGGGTCTCTCTGATTTTCACTCCCAGAATGAAGCTGCTCACTGAGTCGATGGCCATAGCCAGCTCTCTCTTGGTGTCCGGGGGTCATGAAAGGTTCCAAAGAACTTCTTTCCTTGTTCCTTATTTGTCAGAGCACTTCCCTACACAGGAAAGAAATGGAGAACAACACTGGAAAGGGTCAGGTGGGAGAGGGGTGGGCTGTTACAGGAAGGGAATTGTAAAGTGATTCTGCTCTGGCCTGAATTAGTTTTCAAGGCAACCATCATTCAACTACCAGCAGGAAGGAGAAATTTACAGTAAACCTTTTTCCTGGAAGCATCAGCAGAAAGCCAGGTCAGCACTCATCTTACGAAAGGAAATGGATTGTTTGTTTTAGATTGCCAGGGTTTATCCATTCTCTCCAACTCAACACTGCATCTCTCCTAATGCCATCAATTCTGTTTTGTTTTTAAAATATCTTCCTCCTGTTTCACAAATAACTCTTTTTGTGATTTTACTGAGCTGAAGGGCACATGGTCAGTCAACAGAGAGAGTGTGTATGGGGGCAGGGGTTATGACCTATCCTGTTGCATTTCACCAAATATCAGTAGTTGATAGATTAATGAGCACTTACTACGTGCAAGGTACTGGGGTAAATCTGGATTTGTGTTACATAAGGCTCACAACAGCCCTGTGAAGGCTTTTCCAATGGGAAAACTGAGAGGTAGCACAGTAAGGGCCAGAGCCACGATTCAAAAGCAGGTGTGCCTGACCCCAAAGCCTGAATCCTTCACCAGTGGGTTGTACTGTGTGTGTGTGTGAGGATGGATGGATGGATGGATGGACGGACAGACAGACAGAGGAAGATGCGGTTTCCTTTCTCACAAGGACATGCATTCATTCCTTTATTCATTCAACAAATATGTTTTATTGTGTGCCTCTTCTGTCCAAGACACTAAAGTAGGTAATGAATTTACGATAAATTGAATAGTTTGGGGCCTTTTTGTAGCTTGCCATCTATGGCGGGGAGACTATAATGCCTTATTCTCATTTAGCAATCACTGGTAGTCAGAAGTGATTTCATATGTTATCTCATTTGATCTTAATGAAAGACCTGTGAACTCAACTGAGCAGAAACCATCATTCCCATTTTGGGGATAAGTGACTCATCCAAGGTCACACAGCCAATAAATGGCAGAACCCAAGGATTTAAGACTTCTTCTAATCCAGTGCTCGATTTTTCAAGGGCACACATTAATTTTTATTTTTCCTTGGTGTTTTAGGACAGTCACCTGAAGCTTAAACTCTATGGGGGCAAAAAGAAGGTAAAAATTATACAAGGGAACATAATTGCTTCCAACGGGCTCCTGCACATCCTCGACAGAGCCATGGACAAGGTGGCGCCCACGTTTGAGAGCAATATTGAGGTGAGATATTTCAGGTAAAAGTGACGTCACCTCACATCCATCTCCCTTTGCTCCCTGGAGAGTCACTCCCAAAAAGAAAATGAATGCCACCACTATGTGCTTGTACTAGGACCCCAACCATGGGGAAAACAGGATAATTTCTGTTTTTAGTAGAATTCTGGGCACCTCTGAGAGAGAGAGAAAGGCATATAGTAAGTGTAGGAAAGATGTTGATTTTATGACCTTTTTCATAGTCACACCTGACAACTCAGACCAGCTGTTGTGAAAATTTATCCCTTGTGCTTTATGGAGGAGATCCACACTTACATGTAAACTCTGTCATCAGTCTTTTCTTGTTAGAGCATCTAAATATTTCCTAAACCACCTTATTTTTTTTCACTGAATTTTAAACAAGATGTCTCTTTTTAGCAAACCATAATGACAATGCTACAACCAAGATACAGCAAGTTCAGATCTTTGTTAGAGGTATGTACTTTTCATGAATTTCTAGAAAGTGTTTTATGTCCAGTCCTTTGTAAAATTAGCAGGGGGTATCAATTATAAATACTTGCTGGGGAATTCATATATTTATCTGAGATAGGTTGCAGATATACATTTTCATTTCTCAAATGCAGGAAACCAGTGTGGGACATGTCTTAGATGAAGATGGGATTGGTGGACCATATACCGTTTTTGTTCCAAGTGATGAAGCATTGAATAACATGAAGGATGGCACTCTCGATTATCTCCTTTCTTCAGAGGTATTGTATCCTACTGACTCTAATGATGTCATGTCAGGATCACTGCTTCAGTCTCTGTCCATACAGGCTTTTTCTAAATTAAGGATGACAAATAAGTAGCACATGTATCACCATCTACCCTTCTGCAAAACAAAGGCAGACATCATTAATCAGTCACAGTACTCTGGAGCTAAGCCTAGATGTGGCTACAATCTCCTCAGTAGAGTTCCAAGTAGCTAAAAGACCAGTCGATCAGGCTGGGCACAGGAAATAGAATCTATATGCAACCCCAGCTCTGAATGGTTGGTTTGATTTGTCCTGGCTCTTCTAATATTTCTTAATAGCAAAATCATAATTTTAAGTTCCCTACAACTCTAAAATCATCTAGAAAATGAAGCCTAATGTAGGGCATTCTGGGCCAGGTCTAGGCTAAACTTAAAAGGAATAAATGTTATTTTTAGGGGCTCCCGACTCTCCTTTCTATTGTTTTCAGTTCTCTCCACAATAACCCTCTCCTTATTCTCCATAAATCTTCAATTCTCTCACGTCCTCCTCAAGAAAGGAGATTTTTTTACTCTTTCACTCTAGGGTATAAATGACTGATACCATTTAAAGTGTTTCCTCTTCCAGAAATATCAGCCTTAAACTGAAAAGAAGGTTAGCTAATTATGGAATTTTTTTTCACTAGAATATCAAATAGTGGAATTACAGGAAGGACCACAGGCTTTCTTTCAGTACCCTGAGGCCCTACCATTGCCTACCATGTTGGCAATGGGGCAAAACTACCTATGACCTCATATAGATCAGTGTTGACTATATAGAATGAGGGGGTCTGAATCTTTTAGAGTAGTGATCCCCAAACTTTAGTATGCTTAAGAATTACCCATGGAGCTTGTTAAATAAGCTGATTCCAGAAGCTCACCTCAAGCGTTCTGATATCATGGCAGTGGAATGAGGCCCAGAAATAGACATTTTGGTAAGCACCAACTTTGTAACTCAGGTATCCCAGGTCACACTGTTTTCTTTTTTGTTTTCTTTTTTTGGTTTTTTTGTTTGTTTGTTTTTGTTTTTGCGGTACGCGGGCCTCTCACTGCCGTGGCCTCTCCCGTTGCGGAGCACAGGCTCCGGACGCGCAGGCTCAGCGGCCATGGCTCACGGGCCCAGCTGCTCTGCGGCATGTGGGATCCCCCCCGGACCAGGGCACGAACCCGCGTCCCCTGCATCGGCAGGCGGACTCTCAACCACTGCCCCACCAGGGAAGCCCCACACTGTTTTTTGGCACTCAGAAACTTGTTGCCTGAATGATGTAGAGGCTCACATTCCCTTTCTGGGATACTTTCAGGTACCTATAGGATATCTTGCATTCAGAATACTTTGGATTAAAAAAAAATAGGTATCAAGGAGCTAAGTCAGAAGGTAATCTCTTACATTACAAACAGATGTTAAACGTATTGATATGTGAAGATTTGCTACAGGTTTCCATTTAAAAAGTCAGATTTCCCAGTGCCTTTAAACTAGGGTGTTATTTTAAAAATATGATTCACACTCAAGTTTCCTGAAACCTAGCTATTACAGGAAAACTAACATTCTTCTCTTTAGAACTCACATTCATATTTAATTTTAAATCCAAGAAGTAATCATTTCTCCCCTGGGAAGGTATTAAAATTCTGAGATTATATGGCTTCTCTGAATGCATAGCTTCTAATTTGATACATATATTTTTAATAATAATAAAGGAGTTCTCAGACACCTAATCGGGTACATTTAAAATGAAAACAAAGCCTTTAGACTAGGATAGAAAAGATCAGCCTCCCTGCTTTTCTGTCAAGTACCTTGGCTCGGGAAGCTCCTCTCTTTCTCCTTGTAGCTCCTTCCAGTGGTGACTGGAGCTGCTTCACTCAGGCTCTCGAGAGTAGATATGTCTCTTCCCGTTCAGTGAGATCCCATCGGTAGCTTGAAATCAGCCTCTGGTAGGAATATTGACACCATGGAAATTGGCCAACACTATAAATCAGGGCTTATTTTCTTCCCCATAGAAGGGATTTACCAGCACACCATTGCCCCTGGCTCTCAATCTCATTTCTCTCAAAGGCGGTATCTTTCTGCTCGCAAAGAATATAAAACCTCAAGTCTCTTTATCCTGAGTCTAAAACAGTTTTTCCACTTCAACTTCTAGGTGAGGAATAGAACAATCATTTCTACCAGTTTCTCTGGTCCAGAGTCAGTGTGGGTTAAAATTCCTCAACCTATGAGAAGCTCCTTCTCTCTCCACCCATCTTAAGAGCATCCTTTAGCTTTATCTTCAGGGAGGAAACTTAGCTGGAGACAAGAAGATCCCCATCAGTTATGTGCCAATGAAATGGAAAAAAAATGATTTCATTAGAAGAATACTTTCTAATTCTGCTTTGGGAATGCATCGTTCCCAGTGTATCTTTCTGCTTCTCTCTGAAGCAAAATTTCAGTTCTGAACCATCCCATCCCTGCAGAGACCATGGCTATCAATCACAAGCCCCAGCTTATGACTTCATCTAGACAGAAATAAGAGCAAAGGGAGCAAGAGACCAGCCCTTGCCAATTCACAAAACCTTGCAAGCTAAATGGGACAAAAAGAGGTGAATTTACAGAGTTCAAAGTGATAGTCACAGTTTGGTAGAAAAACTTGCCCTTTCTGTCTCTGGCACCAAAAGCCTTGGTTTTTGTTGTTGTTATTGTTTGTTTGCATCTAAAACAGCAAGTAGGAAATGAATGTCCTCATAAAGGAAAGAATGCACTGCTCCAAAAGGCTCTCCAGCGACAGCACATGAAGGCACATCCTGTCGACCTGAGCCTCACTGGACTAAACTATCTGAACGATATGGCCCCCGGCCAGATAAGGTGGCAGGCACACACGGTGGCACAGTGATGCTGGTCAATTCCTTTGTCCCTTTCATTCTCCCGTTTCTTGTAAAAAGGATCCAACGCCAATTAATTCTTGAGGCTTTAGAAGTGGATTATCCAGTTTATCAGGTCTTTCTATAGAATTAGAGGGTGGAAGGGGTCCATACAAACCCTGTTGTTTTGCAGACTAGAGGTGCTGAGTGGCTTGCTCAAGGTCACACAGAAGCAGAACCACAATTAAACTCAGGTTCTTGAGGTCCAGTTCAGTGCCCTTCTCAGGACTCTTCCCCTCCTCGTTTTAACTTATTGGTACAAATGTTTACGTAGGTCCTGTCGTGTGCCCTGTACTATGCTGGCTGGGGACACAGTTACAGACCCAGTCCCTGCCTTCTGGGAGTTTGCAGCCTACCTTTGTCTGATATTTTCCAGTGGTCCCCACTTTTTCCCACCCTTTCTGCCACTTAGCATCCAAACATGTAATGGCATTGCTTCTGCCTGCAAGTCCTCACTTCTGGGTACCCTAAAGTAGCTGTAAGGGGAAGTTAAGACACAGAGGCTAAGTGATTTGCTCAGAGTTTCATAGTAACAGAACCAGAGCTACAGAAACCATCACTTCCAGGGCTGGCCAACTGGTGGTCAACTTCAGCATTCTTATTGGTAACCCTGCCCTGCACATAATGCTATTGATGTATAGATATGGTGGCCTGACGAGTGTCCACACCAGGACACTTTTGAGAGTGAATGGGGCTGCCAGGATGATAGGTATAAAAGCCAGGGTTGTACTAGACAAACCAGGATGTGTGGTCACTCTACTTACAGGTAATTCCCCTGGCATAGGGGCCAAGGGGGAATGCAGAGAGGGGTCTGAGTGAATGGAACTCAGGTTCGGCAGGGCTTTCTCTCCACCTGGGACCTCATGCTGTTGGAACATGTCCCTAGCACGGTCAGCCTCTTGGAGGTTATGATGATCTTGATTTGTAATCCTTCACCTTTCCAAGATAGAGTAACTGTGGCAGTGCCACTGAAGTAGCAGAATTCAGCGCTTCGAAGCTTGTAACCCCAGCTCTGATTCAGCTGGGAGATTACACACATACCACAGCTGACCGCCACTGCTGCTGCCGTCTTCTACCAGAGAGAGCGGCCCTGTGTTCCTCAATTCCATACACTGTCTCCAGGGCACCCGTATGGGGACTGTTCATCCTGCTTAGAGTCCCAAGACTCTCTTTTTTCCTCCACTTCTGCTTCTGTTTCTCGAAGCATGAGAAACCCTCGAAAGGGCCTCGATGGCGAGATGAACAGGTACCATGAGAACACAGAAGGAGAAAGAGCCCTGGCCAGATATTCCTAACAAGGACTGTATGTTCCTAAATAACCAGTACATGGTCTAACAAGCACATGGTCATTTAGAGAGAGTGAAACAGAATCATAAACTGAGGCTGTCTTAGAAAACCTGGAATGTAGCCTTAGACATGGAGAGAGGTGATGGAGCAAGGTGACTGAGAGCTTGAGTTACTTCTTCGGCTTGTCTCCTAAGTTAGCTTTGTGACCTTGGACATGGCTTTAAAACTCAGGGTTCTCACACATGTAATGAGTCAATAGTGTCCCCACCTCACAGGGCTGTTGGGAGGCTTAAATGAGATGTGCATATAATGTTTTCAGAATAGCCCCTGCCATAAAGTAAAAATCTGAGGGCTTCCCTGATGGCGCAGCAGTTGAGAGTCCGCCTGCCGATGCAGGGGACATGGGTTCATGCCCCGGTCCGGGAAGATCCCACATGCCGCGGAGCGGCTGGGCCCGTGAGCCATGGCCGCTGAGCCTGCGCGTCCAGAGCCTGTGCTCCGCAACGGGAGAGGCCACAACAGTGCCAGGCACGCATAAAAAAAAAAAAAAAAAAAAAAAATTTGGTGAATGTTAGCTGTTTGGGGGATGGGGCTGTTCTCACCCTGGACTTCCCAGTAGAGAGATTATGGGTCATTTGTTTTTCTTGACCAAGTGTCCAAAGTCATTTGAGGAAGTTTGAACAAGAGAGGGAAATCTGTGTTTTCCTCAGTGACTAAAGAAGTATTTTGATTCCATTGCAGGGATCTCGGAAGCTTCTGGAACTCGTCAGATACCATGTTGTCCCTTTTACTCAGGTCGGCCCCACTTTTCTGTGGTATTTTTTCCTTGCTTTCAAGATACCTGACCTTAAATTCCAATATTTTAGTGCTAGAGAACGTGTGACAGTTGTTCTTTATCTGGTGCTCTGAGCACACGCTGAGCAGTGAATAATGAGCCTGTCGTCAAAGAAATCTTCCAAGCCACCAAAACTCATGACCTCAAAGCTCCTGTCACTTATTTCATAAGCTTTCAAGCTATTTTTTCCAGCGAGGATTTGGGTGCCGCTCTCAGTGTCTCTATTGTTCTCTTGTTCTTGCAGCTAGAAGTGGCTGCCCTCATTTCGACCCCTCACATTAGGAGCATGGCCAACCAGATCATACGGTTTAACACAACCAACAACGTAGGTGAAAACTCTACTGCTGACGTCATTGCTCAAATGCATTTTTCTCTGCTTATGATTCTTCATTGGGTTATCCTACCTCGACACTAATTCACAGGCTTCGACTCTTTATGATTATTTCATTCATTTGTTATGTCTTTCAGCAAATACCTGCTGAGCAACTCCATGTGTGAGTCTGAACTAGAAGCCAAGAATAAAGCAGTGAAAAAACCAGGCTTACATCCCAGCAAGGAAAACAACTTTAAGCAACTAATTAGTGACCAGTTAATTATTTAATTACAATTATAAACAGGGGCCCCAAGAGGAAGTTAAGAGGGCTGTGGGAGCTCACAGCGGAAGGAGACCAAGCAGATCTGGGAATCTAGAAGTCCTCAGTCAGGAGAGGATGCTTTGGCCAAGCTTCAAAGGATGAGTCATGTGAACTTGGGCAGAGATGAGTAGAAGAGAGTTCCAGGCAGAAGAGAGAGCAGGTGCAAAGGCCCTGAGGTGGGAGGGAACATGATTTATATAAGAAACACAAACTTTGAGTTTATGTAAGAAACTCAAAGTATTATTCTGCTAACTTCTCAGGGTTGTAATATCAGCAGAAATATGGCAGCACAGAGATTATGTCTCCTGTTGATTCACTTTGGATTGTGATGATGACGCCCTGTCATCCTTTCAGCAAGTTCCTGTTTGTTTTGGTTTTGTTTGTTTTGTTTTGTTTTTTTGGCCAAGCTGCACAGCTTGTGGCATCTCAGTTCCCCAACCAGGAATTGAACCCAGGCCCACGGCAATGAAAGCACTGAGTCCTAACCACTGGACTACCAGGGAATTCTCTCAGCAAGTTTCTGTTGAGTGCCTCAGATGTGTCAGACACCATTCTAGGCCCTCAAGGTTGGACCAGTAAGCAAACAGATAAAAGTCCCTGGTTGCGTGGAACATTTGTTCTAGTACATAGGACAATAGATAATAAGTGAGTTAAATATATCATATATCAGAGAGTAGTATGTGCTGAGGCAAAAAAGAGCAAAGCAAGGATGGGAACTAGAAAGTGGGAGTGGGGCTGATGTTTTAGATAAAGTGTCTAAGAAATCCTCATGGAGAAGAAAATATGTGAGCAAAGACCTGATGGAAATGAAGGAACAGGCAATGTGAATAGCTGGGGAAAGAGCATTCCAGAGACAGGAAATAGAAAGTGCAGAGGTGCGAAGCAAGGCGCATGCTGATCGGGTTGAGGAGCAGCAAGGTTCTCGGGGCCAGAACAGAGGGAGGAAAGGAGAGAGGTAGAAGGAGGACAAGGTGGTAGGAGGGAGGAGAGGTGGGGTCAGGTCACACATGGCCTAAGAACTTGGGGCCAGGATGTAGGTTCTTACTCTGAATGAGATAAAAAGCCATTAGAGGATTTTGAGCAGTGGAATGACACGATCAGACATACTTTTGGGGAGACTGGTTGGGAGGTGAATGTAATAACTCAGAGAAGAATGATGGTGACTAGTGGGGAGACAGGCCGAGGTGTGAGGTAGGCTCAAGGAAGTATTGTACAACACGGGGCATAGAGCCAATATTTTCTAATAACTGTAAATGGAAAGTAACCTTTAGAAATGGTATAAAAAAATTTTTTAACGTATAAAATAAGAATGATGGTGACTCAGAGCAGGGTAGTAGCAGAGACATGGTAAGAAGTGGTTGAATTCTGAAGGTATTTGAAAGGCAGACCAACAGAAGGTGCTGATGGATTGGATGGGGGATGAGGAAGGAGGAAGCCAAAGATGACTCCTGAGCTTCTGATTAGAGCCACCAGCAGGATGGTGCTGCCATTACTATTGCTGGGGGAGCAGATCTGGGAGGAAAGTAGAGATCAGAATTCTTTGCTGATTTGTTCGTTTTCTGCTCCCTCGCCTACAGCATAAGCAGGAACTTGTCTGGGCTTGTTCCCTGATATCTCCCCGGACCCTAAAGCAGAGTGTAGTACAAGGCCACTAAACGTATCTGAATGAACGGATCCCCATTTCACCACAGGGGTAAAACCGTTTGCCCAAGGTCTCATAGCAAACATATTGCAGAGCTGGAATAGTTATGCCTCTTCCCCAGTCCGGCACCGGCAAGGACCATATCCGCAAAGACATCCTTGCTTGGAGTCAGTCAAGAATTCATTCAACAGATTCATCTTTCCCTGTCAGCCAAGCCCTTCTAATGGCAATCTTCCACTCAGTGGAAAGTTAAGTGAAGTTGAAGTCTTTTTCGAGAGGTCACCACATTCAGCTCTGCCCGGGGACCTCTGGCGCTCCTCAGTACAGAAGGATGAAAGATGCCGTTGCTTCCTTCCAGGGACAGATTCTGGCAAATGATGTGGCAATGGAAGAAATGGAGGTCGTTGCCAAAAACGGCCGGATTTACACACTGACTGGAGTCCTCATTCCTCCCTCCATCGTCCCAATCCTGCCCCACCGATGTGATGAAACAAAGAGAGAGATGAAACTGGTAAGAAAACTAGGAAGCTCCACGAGGACCCTAAACAGCCCCACAGAGCAGACCGTTCTCTCCTCACAATTCTGAGGGAGCTGACGAGGATAGTTTCACACTTGAGCCTCGTTCGGAAGGCCTTTCCGTCTTTGTGAAGAGGCAGGAGGGTCGGAGGTCGTATCTCATCAAACGTGAACCAAAGTTCCTGGGGGAATTTCCAAACTGATAGTTGCTACCCTGGTATATTCGTTTTCTAGAGCTGCCATAACAAGTTACCGCAGACCAAGTGGCTTAAAGCAACAAGAATGTATTCTCTCGCAGTTCTGGAAGCTAGAAGTCCAAAATCAAGGTTTCCTGTTTCCATTGCAACGTTTTGGCTCAGCTGGTTTTAATCAGAGCAACTAAATTTCAACAAGATTTTGAACAGCCAGGAACAGAGCAACCCTGCAACAAGGCAGGGAGTTAGGGCTGCCCTTGTCCTCCAGACTTCCTTTCCTGAACTTGAATGGCAGCTGCTCGGGGAGGGGTGGGACGGGGAGCTCTGAACAAGTCTAATTATTGACTCCTATTGAGTCTTTTCTGCAGGTTGTCCAAGAACTTGTTCTCCATCTCCCCAAAGAAAAGAATTAAGATGTGGGTTTGAGCCACAACCAAAAAAATTTTGGTTAAACAAGAAAGGCTTCCCAACAGCTGCCTTAGACCGAGGTCTTCTTTTACTATTTTCTCTGGGTTTAAAGTCAAATGAGTCTGCTCTGTGTGGTTTAGGGTGGTTTCCATTAGGTCTATTAAAAGTACAAATGGGGCTTCCCTGGTGGCGCAGTGGTTGAGAGTCCGCCTGCCGATGCAGGGGACACGGGTTCGTGCCCCGGTCCGGGAAGATCCCACATGCCGCGGAGCGGCTGGGCCCGTGAGCCATGGCCGCTGAGCCTGTGCGTCCAGAGCCTGTGCTCCGCAACGGGAGAGGCTGCAGCAGTGAGAGGCCCGCATACCGCGAAAAAAAAAAAAGGGACAAATGTATTCTCTGGAAAGTATTGAGAACTAGTAAACAGTAGAAGCAGCCGGTCTCTTCTAGAAGTCTCAGTTTTCAGCAGGCTGAACCCATAGCCGCCTTTGGGCATGTATGTTTGAATCTTAGAGGCTTCATTTATAAGTCTCTGTACTAGTTAGGGTCCGTGCAGGAAGCAGAATTTATACCAAGGGTTCAAATTAAGAGACTTTAATGACGAAGCTGCTACAGAGGGGTGGGCAGGGCTGAGGAAGCAAACACATGATGCTGGGGCATCCAAGGAGAAGCTCTGGCAGGAAACCATTACCACCAGAGAGTCAGTGGTGGGGAGGGGGTGGAGTTACCTGAACCCAGTGAGAGTGGGGAGAATGGAAGAAGAGGTATCCATCAGCAGCTGTAGGAACGGTGCTCGAGCAGAGAGGGAGCAGGAAAGAAATACCTTGACCTTGTTCTCCCCTACCCACTAATATACTGCTGGCAGCTCACTGAGACCAGCTGGAAACTGGCAAGGGGCCCCAAGAGACCATCCTTCAAGGTTTACCTGCTGGAGCACAAAACACAGTAGAGAAGGTCAGAGAATGGATCTGGAGAGATTTGGAGGCACGCACCCCTTTTCTTCCTCCTGAATTCAGAACCAATGGAGGAAGAAGCCCAGGAGACTGAAAGGCAGAGAGTCAATGTTCAGCCTCGTTACTGCTAAGCTAATTGGAGAACAGGGACTTGAGTGTGTGGCCAGTGCTAGTACTACATCGCTGGCACAGGTGGGCAACTGCAGTGTCCCCTCAGGGTCGACCAGAAGCCTGAGGCCTGTCGGACCCTGAAAGAGGATGAGGAAGGGGCTGCTCTGAGCGGGCCCACTTCCTTCTCCCAAATTCCTTCTCTCTGGTGAGGAGGCAGTAGGGGCGGGGAGAGAGGCCGAGAGTGGTACACTAGTGGGACCCCTTCACAGGGAGGATGCATGAGGCCAGACACGTGGCCTGCCCCTCCCTCTTACAGACACGCCTGTACTGACCTGCAGTCTTTCCTTCCAGGGCACTTGTGTGAGCTGTTCCCTGGTGTATTGGAGCAAATGCCCTGCCGACTCTGAGCCCACAGTGAGTGTGACAGCTTCAGGGAAGCACACGTCACCCAAGCAGCCCCGCTGGTGTGGTTTCTCATCCTTTCCATCTTCCCCTCTTAAAAGATATTCGTTCCAACTGGGATAACGTAAGGTTAGCTCTTAGCCTACTATATCTGGGGGGATGGTAGAAAGACAGCCCACAGATCTGTGTTTGAGTCCTTGCTCATTTATCCAAGGTAAGTTGCTTCACATATTTACTCTAATTTTCTTATCCGCAAATGGTAATAATAATAATAAGAACAACAACAGTAGCAGCAGCAGCCTTAGCACAGATAAAACTCCAAGTGCAATGCCTGAATCAAGTAGCCACTCAGTAAATGTTCCCTCTCTACTTGCCCTATGAAATAAAACCCAGTGTTTGCGTAAGAGAGGCAAAGCTCTACCCTCACCCTCTTGCGGTCTCTGGCTGGGCCTGAGAATTAAGTTGACATAAGACAAATTAACAGGAGAAAAGCACAGGTTTTTACACATACCTGAGAGCTTCCATAGGAGAATGAAGACCTGGAGAAACAGCAAAACCCAAGTGTTTATATAGTATGTTGAGCAAAGACAGGTAACTGTAGAAAAGTAACTAAAATGTGAAATATATTTCACAATGGATACCTACATCAAATCATTATTACTATGTTGTACATCTTAAACTTATACAAGTTTTTTGGGTTTTTGTATCTGCTATATTTCAAGTGCCTTTAGCACAAAATAATCCATATGCCAAAGTGGCACGTGTGGGTGTGGCATGTTCTGCTACCCTTCATTTGTATCTGCTCTTCCCAAGCATCATTCTGGAGAGAAATACAAGAAATATCGAGAAAAATGACACTAGGACCATCAAAACCTTGTCAAGCTTGATAGAATTCTGCACACGTCTATTGAGGTTTATAGATCTGGTTCAGGGAGCATAGAGATCAATAAGATATTGCTTTGTTTTGTTTTGGTCTTGAGAAGCTCTAATCTAAAAAGGAAAACAGGTAATTTTTCTTGGCATAATTTATATGCCAAGTAAATACTCTACTGGTAGCAGAAGCAACGTGTTCTAAGGTAAGATTGGCGATAGAAATTCCTGCCTCTAAGTTCATCCTAAGAAAGAACTTCCCAACCAGCCAGTTCATTCCACACTAGAATAGATCGCTATTATAAAGAAGGTGATGAGTTTTTTTTAACACCATCCTATTGTGGAGCATTTCATAAAGAAAAACATTAAAATTAAATAGGCACAGGTGTTCAGATATTTATTTTGCTCAGTGAAGCCATCACCCCTGAGTCCTGCAGGATGCTGTCGACCAGGGCATATGGACAGGGAGAAGAGAAGAGGAAACTGTGGTGACTGGCATCCCAGTGAGTGCTGTGTGCCAGACATTGTTCTAAGTGCCTCATGCAGCAAACCTATGAGGGGGGCACGTTATAACCAGAGTGTAACCTGGGAACTAAGGCGAGGAAACATAAAAGCCCTCCCACAAGGTCACACAGCTGGTACACGCAGACCATGATCCTACATTGCCTCAGCCCAAAGAAGGAGGGAGAGAGTAAAGGAAAAAATGAGACACATGGGTCAGAGCCAATAGAACCCCTAAACTGCCCCTCCCGTGCTCCCATGGTCTATACTTGGCTAATTATCCTGACAGCCAACAAGGGGGTTGAATAGTCCTTCCTCATCGACCTGAGAATTCCTTTAGACATTTAAGATTTTAGGATTTTACTGCCCATGGTTTTCCCTGCTCTCTTCTTAAGTAGGAGCCTAAGATGAAGGAGTACCTCCATATCCACTTTTATCTAACATAAAATTTGAGCCATGGACTAAATGCTCAGCACAAAACTTGAGATCAGCATTTTTGTCCTATTTCACAGATTAGACAGCATGACTTGCCTCTGAGATCCTAAAGGTAGTAGGTGGTAAGATCCATTCTCTCGACCTGCCACTTACTATCAGTGTTCTTAAGAAAAAGGATTTAACCCGTCCGGGCCTCAGTTTCCTTACCTATAAAAAAGGGATGAGAAATACCCACATGGAGTTGAAGATTGATGACCTCATACAGGCAATGTGTCTGACCTTAGTAGGTTCTCAATAAATGGTAGTTCTCCGTAATTCTGAGTGGGTAGCAGAGGTTAGAGAATAGAAAGAAATCTGCCCCTATACCCCACAATTCCTAAGAGGAAAACTCAGACTCTCACTATTTTTTTGGTTGATCTTTGTACAAATTAGGAGGAAAATCTCTAATTGTTCCAAAATGCCTATATAGGAAGTGGTTAGGGATGGTTATTAATTGGAAGGGGAGGCTAAGCCACATCCTGGATGCACAGGAACATGTTCCCTGATTGATTAACAATGTCTTCCAGGGCATGAGAAGGGACGGAAAGGTACATATGCCCTGCGTGGTGCAAACCCTGGCCTGTATTCTTCCAACAAGGAAACAGGCTTAACAGGGTGGCAGCTCTGCCTGGGCCCTGTGTGGGCTGTGTGCTCTAGCACTCTTTCCTAGCGCTGACAGTAAAACAGAAGAAGATTGTCTGGTGTCTGTAGAAGCCGAGTCATGCCCAGAGGACCTCAAAATACAGACTGCGATGCTCTTCCTCATTGGCTTTCTTCCAGACACTCTTCACACGCAAATGTGTCTACACTGGCCGAATCAGGAGCCTGAAGAATGGCTGTGCCAGATACTGTAATGCCACCGTGAAGGTGAGGCTTGTGTGTGGCCGGGGCCCTTATCCAGACCACCAAGGCCTTGCACAGAAGCCCACAGGGCTGGGCAGCTCTTGGACCCCAGGGTCTGTGAGTCACAGGTTGCCCTTGGGTTGACCCACAGGTTGACCATGTCTTCTTGCAAAGGAAGGGAAGGGCAGAGTCCCCACACAGCGGCCAGGTCACCCCCTCCCTGCATCCATTCATCCCATGGTTCCTATCCCTGTTTTTTTTTTTTTTTTTTTTTTTTTTTTTTTTCCTGCCCCCCCCTTTTTTTGCCTCGTCCTTTTCTGGGTTCTCGCTCGCTCCGGCGCTGGTATTTTTAGGTTTGGTGCTGTTGTTGCATTGGGCGATGCT